TCTGAATTAGCAGGTCCCGCCTGCCGCCCCAAACCCGCAATCTCTGCGAGCAGAGTTGGCCAGGACCGGGCGCTGGTCTAGTCACAGCGGGAGGGCACCCCACACCGCCTGCACACCCCACACCGCCTGCACACCCCACACCGCCTGCACACCCCACACCGCCTGCACACCCCACACTGCCTGCACTCCCGCGTGGGGAGCCCCGCACACCCACCCAAAGGCGGGGAGTGCTGCTGTCACTGACGCCTGAGGGTCTGACAGACCCCCGAGCCCGGGGGCTGCACCGCGCAGCCTCCAGAAAGAACGCCCCGGCCGCACAGTTGCTCTAAGTCAGAAGTTAGAGGCGCTTCGCTGGTGCTCGGCAGAGTAAGGAGTTGTTTTTCCCATTCACGGCCTCGGCTTCCCAGCCAGTCCCCCACCCCGTCCTCCACCCCGCACCAGAGGTAAGGTTTCCCTTTGATTACAGCCTGGGTCCTTCCTGGCTATGTGAACATCTTGGGGTGGACAGACCCTTGGCCCCAGAAACAGCCTGGTCCCCCTCCTTCCTGCTCACACGCATTTCTAGATGCTCACGTGCGTTTGCTCTCATCTCCCAAGTCACCGCCGGCCAAGGCGGGGATCCCTGCCTCCCTGAACCGGGAAGCTGGGGGCCTGGGGACCGCGGGGGCTGGGCCTGGCTGGGGAGAAGGTAACCTCTCCAGCCCGGCCCCTGCCCCAGCCGCTCCTCTGTCCACAGAGATCCCGCTGTGCGCCGGCTGTGACCAGCACATTCTAGACAGGTTCATCCTTAAGGCTCTGGACCGGCACTGGCACAGCAAGTGCCTCACGTGCAGCGACTGCCACGCGCCGCTGGCCGAGCGCTGCTTCAGCCGCGGGGAGAGCGTCTACTGCAGGGAGGACTTCTTCAAGTGAGCCCGTGCCCGCGGCCCAGGGGGGGGCCGGGCTGGAGGGGAGGCCGGGCTGGAGGGGAGGCCGGGCTGGAGGGGAGGCCAGGGCACAGCCTGCCGCAGGAAACGGGGAGTGTGGCCCGACCGGGCCGGGCCCCAGACCGCCTGCCACCCAGGCTGCCGTCCGGGGCCTCAGCCAGCTCCGAGTACGCCTGGCCAGCAGGTCAGAAATTATTACTTAAAATAATAGTAACTTGAGCCAGCTGCTAGTGGCTCACGCCTGTGAGTCTAGCTCCCGGGAGGCTGAGATCTGAGGATCACAGTTCAAAGCCAGCCCATGCAGACAAGTTCTTTAGACTCTTATCTCCAACCAGTCACCAAAAAGCCTTGGGAGTGGAGCTGAGACTCAAGTGGCAGAGTGCCCATCTTGAGTTGAAAAAGCTAAGGAATGGTAGGGTGTAAGCCTCTGCATTGGCACAAAAATTAATAATTTGTTTTGTAAATAATGGAATTCGTTTAAAAAAAAAGAGGAGCTCCATTTTGCAGAGCTGTGTAGACGCACTCCCTCGGTCTCGGGCTTTTCTCCCTAGAGGGGAGGGAGCAGCATAGCTCCCGGCCGCGAAGGGAACTGGGGCCCCCCGTCCCAGGTGGAGCAGGCTCTGCTCGTCCCCTTGAGGACTTCTTGGTAGTTTGAGGCCCTGCCTGGGCTGCAGACCTGACCAAAGGGCTGGGCTTGTGGAGCCTTCCTCCGGGGTCTTCGGCCGGCGCGGCTGCGCACCTCTGACCCGCTCTGGGCGTAGGAGCGTGGAGCCGCGGGGCTGAGCCGCGCCCTGTGCTTGTGCGTCCGCAGGCGCTTCGGGACCAAGTGCGCCGCGTGCCAGCTGGGCATCCCGCCCACGCAGGTGGTGCGCCGCGCCCAGGACTTCGTGTACCACCTGCACTGCTTTGCCTGCGTGGTGTGCAAGCGGCAGCTGGCCACGGGAGACGAGTTCTACCTCATGGAGGACAGCCGGCTGGTGTGCAAGGCGGACTACGAGACGGCCAAGCAGCGAGGTCAGTGTGCGGCCGGGACGTGGGACGCGGGGCCAGCCTTCCGGCGAGACCCTCGCCTCCACGGAGCGTGGGATTAAGTGGTTTGTAGCTGGGTGGTAGAAGCACCTGGAAGTTGTGTGGATTCTGTGACTATCAGTACGGCTCTGAACTATTCGCCAGACACCCCATGACAACCCCAGCCTCACCACACCTTCAGGGTAAAGGGGTTGGAGGCCGGTGTGGAGGCTGGAGGCGGTGTGCAATGGACAGCGGGTTCTCATGAACAGCCTGGTGGCCACAGAAGCCACCTGTGTGGACACCTCTCCCGTGCGGCCGCCGGCGCGCGCCCCATCGCTCTGACAAGGCCCTGGAGAGCATGGGCCCTGGGGAGGGCATTTGGGCGAGCTGGGCGCTGGGCGGAGGGCACAGCTGGCCTCACCGCTGTCCTCTGCAGAGGCTGAGGCCACGGCCAAGCGGCCCCGCACCACCATCACCGCCAAGCAGCTGGAGACGCTGAAGAGCGCCTACAACACCTCCCCCAAGCCAGCCCGCCACGTGCGGGAGCAGCTGTCCTCCGAGACCGGGCTGGACATGCGCGTGGTGCAGGTCAGCGCTTGCTCCCCGACCTGGAGCTGCCTGGCAAAGCAGGGGGACCCTCTGCGGGCCCTCACCACCCCTACCCCCCAGGTCTGGTTCCAGAACCGCCGGGCCAAGGAGAAGAGGCTGAAGAAGGACGCGGGCCGGCAGCGCTGGGGACAGTACTTCCGGAACATGAAGCGCTCCCGGGGCAGCTCCAAGTCCGACAAGGACAGCGTCCAGGACGGGCAGGACAGCGACGCCGAGGTCTCCTTCACCGGTACGGAGGCCTCTGCCCCGCGGGCTGGTGGGTCACGGGTGTCTAAGGAGAGCCTGGGCTCCACCCGTGGCTGTGAGTTTCTGAGTTTCCTCCTTGAAGCCATTCATGGGTCTGGGCCACCCACCCAGAACCAGATGGGGTGCCGAGTCCCCGTGGACCCCCGTCTCAAAGCGAGCACCGCCTCCTGAGGGGGATCCGGGTTGCCGCTTTGGCTCCCGCACCCCGCAGTGGCTTTTGGGGGGACAGGCGGTGCGGTTTGGAGGTCAACTGTAAATGTCCAGGCTTCTTGGAGGGGGAAGGGGTAGAAAGGCGCCTCCATCCTCACTAGGGATACCCCAACATGCCCCGAAGCGCCCCCTCCTCTTTGGGACTGCGTTGTGACCTCAGGCCGCTAGCTTAGCTTCTGGGGCTTGGATTTCCTCCCCTGCAAAGTGGAGGTGGCAGTGGGCCGGGCTCCGGGCTGCTGGGGCAGACTTCCAGCTCTGATGGGGGCCGGGAACCCCGCCATTTCCCAGTCGCCCCGCGCCGGCCTCAGGGGGACGCGGGAGGGCTCGGGCTGGCTGCTGCGCTGTGGGGGGTCCCGTCCCTCCCCCCAGGGAGCCACACGTGGAAGGCAGCCCTGACAGCTTCCCTTTTCGTTGCAGACGAGCCGTCCATGGCCGACATGGGTCCGGCCGGCGGCCTGTACGGCGGCCTGGGGGAGCCCACCCCGGCCCTGGGCCGGCCCGCCGGAGCCCTGGCCAGCTTTGCGCTGGAGCACGGAGGCCTGGCGGGGCCGGAGCAGTACCGGGAGCTGCGCCCCGGCAGCCCCTACGGCCTGCCGCCCTCCCCGGCCGCCCCGCAGAGCCTCCCCGGCCCCCAGCCCCTCCTCTCCAGCCTGGTGTACCCCGACTCCAGCTTGGGCCTCGTGCCCTCAGGGCCCCCGGGCGGCCCCCCGCCCATGAGGGTGCTGGCGGGAAACGGACCCAGCTCAGATCTATCCACGGGGAGCAGCGGCGGTTACCCAGACTTCCCCGCCAGCCCCGCCTCCTGGCTGGACGAGGTGGACCACGCGCCGTTCTGACCGAGGCCGCTGCTCCACCAGCCACGGGGGCTTGGCTGCCGGGCAGCGGCGAGGGGCGGCCACTGTCTCCCAGCACCGCTGAGGCCAGCGGGACCGGAAGCTGGGAGGGCGGGCGGCGGCCTTGCCTGATGCCAGCTGCCCTCTCACTCCTGGGGGGGGGGAATTCCAGGCTCCTCCTCAGACGTGGGTGACCCGTGTGGCAGCTGTTTTGTAGGCAATGTCCCCTTAGGACCAGATAACGGCACTTGGGGCTTTTCGATGGTATGGGATCTGTCAAAGTCCAAACACTAGCCTGCTTTCAGTTCCTAGAGGACCTTTCCTTCCTCCAGGGCCTCAGGGCTACAACGCCCCTCCGGGGGGCTCTGGCACCCCGCCCCCAGTGCTCCAGGAGCCTGGGGCCCCTTCTCCAAGGTTGTGGTCAAGTCTTTAAGCCCAAGGTTTAATCCCCTCCTCACGTGCACAGGGCCAGCCCAGGCCACAAGGCCCGGGATGCACCGGCTAGCAGAGCTGTCGCCAGCAGCCACAGCTCTCCGCTCCAGTGGAAGCGGCCAGCGGGGGAGGCGGGCTGGGCTCTGGTCCTGGGAGTGCCCGGCAGCCCGCCCCAGAGACCGGCAGCTGTGTCAGCCAGTCACGCCCTAAAACCAGGCCGTGGCTACCTGTGGGTTCTGTGACTGTCCTGTGGCGTTTATTTATTCTCTGGTGAGCAGCTCTTTCCAAGACTTCAATAAATTTGTCGGTTAGGTTGGCTGGCTCGGCGTGTGTTGGGGCGCTGGGAGAGGCGCCCAGAAGTGTCTGCCGGTGGGAGGCGGGGCTGCTCCTCGCAGCCTTTGGCCCCCGGCCCACAGTTGGGCTCCCTTTGCCCTGGATCTTGGCCAAGCTCCAGAGCCGTAAAAGGAGGGGTGCCCCAGCGTCTGCCCTGGGTCCGGGGAAGGAGCAGGGACTGGTGTGCGCAGGGAGGGCCGGGACCCGGCGCCGGCACCCGAGCCCTGGGGCTCGCTGTGGTGTGAGTGGTGTGAGTTCCGAGCTGAGCTGGGAGCCCACCGCGAGCCCCAGTGCGAGACCTGACCCCTCCCTCAGACCCGTGGACTCGCAGAACCGCAGTGACAGTCCCTGGAAGGAGAGACCTCAGCGAGGGCCAAGGCCCCCCCACCTTACGTGGGTGCTCCCTGGGGGGAGGGAGGGGGGAGGACAGATGGGCAGGAGGCCACGCCCCAAGCAGACCCCGGCCCTTCCCACGGGGGGGGCCTCCTCCCAGGGCCTCCCCCAAGGTTAGTGGTGGGAGGGGTGGGCTGGAGCTTTCTCGGGGGACTGGGAGGGTCCCCTCCCCTGAGGGTGGGGCCCTTGCAGGGTGGGGCTGAGAGAAGCTTCTAAGGGCTCCTGTGCCCCCTCCCCAGCCCCCAAGTCTCCCAGTGCTGGCTGTTCTGGAGGGAGGGAGGGAGGACGGGTGAATCCCTTTCCTGAATCCCACAGGGCCTGGGGGAGGGGAGGAGGAGGGAGGAGGATGGAAAGGGAAGGGAGAAAGGGAAGGCCCCAGTCCAGCTCCGCGGGGCCGGGCAGTGTTGGAGCTGGAGCAGACGGGCTGAGGGACATTCGGAGAACAGGCCCGGTGCCTGGCCTCGCTGGCCAGGCTGCTGGCCTTCTGACATGCACAGACCACAGCGTCCACTGGGCTGAGTCAGACTGGACCCTGCACCCCCAAATCCGTCTGCAGAGCCCCTGGTGCTGCCCGTTCGCAGCAGGGAGACGCTGCAGAAGAGGACATTCTTGTCATGGACTGGAGCAAAGGAAGTGGCCTGGAGGGAGGCGGTGCTCCGCCCTCAGCAAAGCCCCCCCCCGGGCCATTCACCCCCCCCCCCCACAGACCAGGAATCACAGACACTGGGAGGCAATCGAGTGCGGGCGGGGGAGGGGGATGTTTGTGCCGAGGGCAGAGACTAAGCACCGCTCCGAGGGCTTGGAATTCTCTCCTGAGGGGAGGGTTGGCGGAGAGACTCGGAGCCCCACTACAATCAGGATTTCAAAGGCCTGGGCGGTGCTGGCTGGGTGGCCTGGGGCAGTTACAAATCGGGAAGCTTAACCCCAGCGGTGCTGGCACTCCTTGCCCTCCCCTAAGCCCCAGGGGGCTTTTTAGGTGCTGAGAGTTAATGGAGAGCTAAGTGTCCCCTGCGGGCTTTGCTGGTCCCCGCGGCAGGCAGCCTGGGTTCCCAGAGGGGCAGAGGCCAGGGCCTGGCCGGAGGGGCACCCACACAGGCCCACAAGGAAGCCAGGCTGGCCTCAAGGGTCCACGAGTGGCCTTGCACCAGGCCAGCACAGAAACCCCAGCCTGACCTCTGGGCTCCCTCTGCTTGTCGGCCAGAATGCAGACCCGGGCCCTAGAACCCTGCTCCAATCCCAGACACACTCCAGCTGGGAACGGAAAGGGAGAGGAGAGGGCTGACTTCAGCCCCCGGCTGGGCCGAGGGGAAGGGGAAGGGGCTGAAGAAGATGGATGCCCAGGTTCCAGGTCTGCGGAGATTGAGATCTCACGTGGAGACGAGTTACTGCAGACTGTGGAGTGTGTGTGTCCGCCTGGAACACGGAACACAGGGTGCCTAGACCCGTGGTAGTGCAGCCTGGGGCAGAGACTGGGAGGCAGAAGAGGGAACTCTGGGTGTGACCGGAGGGGCCAGGAAGGGGAGCCGAGGGTCGGATACCCTTCAGGCCCTGGCTTAGGGACCAGAGCCTCGGACGTGGGGCGGGGAGCTGCTGCAGGGCTGGGGTGGAGTTCCGAGCTCCAGTCTCACTTTCCAGCCAAGGGCCGCAGAGCCAATGCCGCGCACCCCCTTGGGGCCCGGGCGGGTCCGTGGGCTCCCGGGTGGGAGCCTCTCCAGGCCGGGCCCTCGGGACACGGAAGCACTCTTCCTCTCGTGGGCCACTTTTGAGTCTAAGGACAGTCACATCATTAAACGAAGGTTTCTGAAAGGTAAAGACAGTCATTGCAAGGAACACCTCACGATCTTCTCCCCTTCCACGTAAAATCTGCGCCGAGGCTCCGCTGCCCTTGGACCGGGATCCACCTCCCTCTCACGGCAACAAAGCTCTTCCACGAACGCGTCCGTATGCGTCCGGGGCGCTAAATCCCAGGGGCTATAATATCAATTCCTTAAGCCCATAATTGTTCAAATTACTCCGAGCAACATAAAACATTAATTTTAAGGAATTTAATAGGAAAAAGCTCTTTAAATCCACCATGAGACAAATGACAGCCCAGGACAGCGACCTTCTCTCCATACCTTGATGACATTGAATGATCTGAAAGTTATTTACATTTTCATTCTCCGTGGAGAATGTTGACAAGCTTTTGGCCGTGGGCGAGGTGTGTGAGGGGCCGGGGCGCCCCCTCCCCTCTAATTAATGGGGGAGCAGCGACTTCATAAGCTGAATTTTCATCAGTCTGCCAGGCGGCCTTGGGGGACGGCGCCCCCCCCCCGCAGGCCCACGTGCCTCGGCTCATTTTTTATCATTACAATATTCCACCCGGAACGGCAGAGACCCCTCTGGGCATTCAAAAGCAGGTGTGAGAGCGTGAGGCAGCTTCCCCTTAGGGGTGGAGTCTGAGGCCCAGCAGGTACGCGGGCAGGAGCAGGTCAACCCGCCTGCAGGTGCCACGTCGTGCCCTCGGCTCCACGTTGACCCCTCCCTGTCCCTGCCGGTCATCTCGGTGCAGTGGCTCAGCCGGGCGGCGCACATGCAGGTGTCTTTGGACCGGGTCTTGGGGTCCTGGAGCTCGGAGCGGGCTGGTTTTGCCCTGCGGATCCCAGGGCTCTGTACAGCCCAGCCCGGGAGGGAGGGGGGAGTACACGGGCCTGGGGTCGATTGATCCACTCCGTTCACTGGCTGTACGGTGTGTCTGGGAGCAAGGCCCTCAGCCTCTCTAAGTCTACAAGCCACAAGTGCCAGGGTTACGGTTAGGGAGTCAGGGGAGAGGCGTGCTGAGGCGCAGCTCTGGAAGAGCAAGGAAGCGCTCGAACACTCACCTGGTGGCCGTGGGCGAAGGAGGGAGAGAACTTCCTTTATAAAGGGAAGGGAAGCCTGGAGCGGATGGCTCAAGCCTGTTATGCTAGCTACTTGGGAGGCTGAGATCTGAGGATCATAGTTTGAAGCCAGCCTGGGCAGGAAAGTCCGTGAGACCCTGCTCTCCAATTGACTAACAGAAAGCTGGAGGTGGAGCTGTGGCTCAAGTGGTAGAGTGCCAGCCTTGGTGGGAAACGCCAGGGCAGAGCACAAGGGCCTGAGTTAGGAATGGCTGCCAGCCCCCGTGCTGGACAACGGGGAGCTCATCTTCGCGTTTTCCTAGCACTCTTTAGATCCTAGGTTTAATTCCTAGCACAGCACAAGCAAAACCAAACAAAAACAACATAGCTGGACTCCAGTAGCGGAGTGCTTGGGCCCTAAGTTCAAATTCCAGTGCTGCTTAAAAAGAAAAAAGATAACTGTTGAAATGTAACAATAAAATCCTCCCCTCTATAGCGCGCGCTTAACACAAAGTAACTAAAATAAAAATTAATGGGAAGGGAAACAAAGGAGGAGGCTACAATGCTTGATAAGAAATGTACTCATTATCTTGCCCATGTAATTGTAACCCCTCTCTACAGTATTTTCATAATAAAAAAATAAAATAAAAAATTTAAATTGGGCATGGCACAGCGGCTCAGCTTACTTGGGAGATGGAGGTGGTCCAGACCAGCCCAAGCTTTAAAAAGTAACAAGACTTCCATCTCAACCAATAAAAAGCAGTACACGCCTGCCATCCCAGCTACCAACCAATAAAAAGCAGTACATGCCTGCCATCCCAGCTGCAAGGGGGAGACCTCCCAAAAGTGAGGACCTACTAAAAATAATACCACAAAGCCAGCCAGACACCAGTGGCTCACACTGGTAAGCCTAGCTACGTAGGAGGCCGAGATAGGAGCATCACAGTGAAATGGGGCTGTGGCTCAAGTGGTCGAGCACCAAACCTT